AACTATATTATTCTATAATACTCAGAAAAACTATAAAATAAATAATTTTCTATATTGTATCAATTAAAATAGAGTATTTTAATCTATAATCAAGTCACTGGTATAACGTTACAAAATTAGCTTTAAAGAATAAACAGTTTTCTGATAAAATCATATAAACCAATATAATAAGACATTTGAGAATTCCAGTCTTGTGTTTATGCACCAAACTGCTATTTGCTGAGAATTTATGGTGGAATGAAAGTCTTACATTATGTTTTTGAATATGTACAATCTTATTGGATTTATAATATATTTCTAAATAGCGGTGACGCCTTCTTGACCTCAATGTTTCTATAAATGATGGTCTTTCTATCTTGAACGGCAACATTCTTGACCTATAAAATTGCTTGCAACAGGAAGCCTCCTCCACCTTGATGTAAATTGCATTGAAGCAACTCCATATACACAATCTGTCTAATTATGACATTATTATGATCCTCCTGAACTACTATCCTTTCTATGATCCCTTTTCTATTTTTTTAGTCAATTTACAGAGAGCATATATACTATTACATCAGAAAAACTGCATACAATAAAACATAGCAATAAATAAAAGTATCTAAAGTGATACATCTATTTTACAAACCCACCTGCATTTGATTTATATAGATCTATAACATCGAGTTTGTACACAAGCCAAAATTGTGAAGTCATTCCAAAAATAAAGCAGATCACTAATGAAAGCATGCCAAATGCATTACTTCAGGCAGACTTTGCACAGAACATGGAATGTGAACATCTTTGCTGGCAGGTCAGACATTTTATCTAGTTTACCCGGTGTTTACCAGTGTTAATATTTAAAATAAAGGCAAGAGAATAGGCCTATCACATTTGAGATTATGATATCATTAAATGTATTATCGGATGCTACTCACTGGTCACGAGCCGTATTCCCTCCCTCAGCAACCAGGACTTCATGGGTCTTCTCGGGCAATTGAAACAATTAAAAAAGGTGCTTAATTGTGAAGGTTTAGTTGAATTCCACAAGTATGATGAGTTCACATTATATTACCAGAGGCAGGGTAAACTCCTGTATTGTAAGTAGTAAAAATAGATGCATAATTCTAAAAAAGCGTCCTTAGATGTGCAAGTTATCTAGCGTAAAGGAACACTATAGGATCAGGAACACAAACATTTATTCCTGACCCTGTAGTGTTAAAAACGCCATTTAGGTGACTTGTCCCACCTTAACCCCTTTAAAGGTATTAAATCTGCCCCTGATCTGCCTCCTTGCTGACATCATCATAATTTATGATTTCAGCCAATGGGAAAGCATTGGATTGGCTGAAATTGGCAAGGAGGTGGGATGGGGGAAGGGCAAAACGCTGGCTTGGCCAATCAGCACCCCCTCATAGAGATACATTGAATCAATGCATCTCTATGATGAAAACTCAATGTCTCAATGCAGAGGGTGAAGACACAAAATGTCACTGCTGCACACTGTGCAGCACTGCCCCAGGAAACACGTCCAGTGGCCATCTGAGGAGTGGCCACTGGAGGTGTCCCCTGGGGGCAATGTAAACACTGCCTTTTCTCTGAAAAGGCAGTGTTTACATGAAAATTCCTGCAGGGAATGATTATACTCAGCAGGACAAATACATTAAGCTTTAAGTAGTTGCTCTGGTGACTATAGTGTCCCTTTAACCAATTTTCCTCTCAAAAAATCTGGGCCAAAGTCTACACTTGTAAGTAAGTTTTGCCACTATTATTATCTCTCACTAAGTAGATTTGAGCATATAGTTTATCCTAATGTCTAGAATAACTAAAAAAAACTTACAGCTGCACTTTCTCAGTGTGATTTCCAGTGCTTTCATGTTAAAGTCTCCTAACTGTGTTATCTTTAGGCACGGTTTACATCAAATCTTGCTGTGTGTTCCAATGCTAATGGTTGCAAGATGGAAATATCTTTGTGGGGACACACAATACTCTGTTACGGGGCAGTTTTTAAAAACAAAACATTCTTCTTTTTTTTTTTTTCAACAAGTATGATGAAGCATTCATCATCTTACCTTAAAATACATAACCTGTACTAGGATGTGTTGGATGTCTTTCAAATTCATGGAGTTTCTTGGAAACCTTCTATGTAAGCAAACTGTCCCTGGGATTCTTAAACTCATTAATCTTTTAACAGCTCATCTCAAAAACACAAAATACCATTTGTTGGCACTCCTGGTTTTTGTAAGCTAATGCTGCTAGCACTGACCAATATGCAGAACAACTTAATGATCTTTTTTTTTTTGATCTTTAACCATAATGTGTTTTGTAATTTTGTCTGCATGCACAGTATAAATAACAACCAGATAACATTAGTAATGCACTCTACGTGGGTATAAATCTCATGCAGACACATTAAGATCATACAGCCACCTGTGTCCACATTCACTTGTCATTTATTGGATCAGTAGCTCATATGTAAGCCTGCTATGACTTTGTGTTTTCAATATGTGGACTAGTAAGTTAAGTAGATAGAACTTAAAATACACGTTAGCACCAAAGCCACTTTATATCTGAGAAGCAGTGTTTATATTTTGTCTTTACCATACCAGACGGCCACTACAGCTGCTTTCTCCTTAAGATCTTTGCTTTGTGCAGCATGGTAACGCCACAAGTGGCTAATGCGCTTCATGAGAAACATTAACTTGGTGGGCATGCGGTTGCCACATATGCATCATGTGTCCTGAATGCTTCTGTGCAAGAAGCATCTTCTTGGACAATAGTCATCAGAATTGAGGATGAGCAGCTGTAGTAGGCTTACTGTCCAGGTGGTAGAATAAAATAAATCTGATATTTTTTTGTACCCTTTTATTTTAGCAAGGCTCCGTGATAATAAGTGGGGAATAAATGGACACTGGTTTTATATATAAAGACATATATATTTTAAATTCTTTATTTAAAGAAAAAATAGCAAAATACAATTTCACATCTATCCATCAAATAGTATATCTTAAAGGACCACTATAGTGCCAGGAAAATATACTCGTTTTCCTGGCACTATAGTGCCCTGAGGGTGCCCCCACCCTCAGGGTCCCCCTCCCGCCCGGCTCTGGGGAGAGGAAGGGGTTAAACACTTACCTTTCTCCAGCGCCGAGCGGGGAGCTTTTCTCCTCCTCTCCTCCTTCCTAGCGACGTCATCGGCTGAATGCGCATGCACGGCAAGAGCCACGCGCGCATTCAGCCAGTTCATAGGAAAGCATTTATAATGCTTTCCTATGGAAGCTGGCATCTTCTCACTGTGATTTTCACAGTGAGAAGCATGAAAGCGCCTCTAGCGGCTGTCAATGAGACAGCCACTAGAGGCTCTAGAGGCTGGATTAACCCTCAGTGTAAACATAGCAGTTTCTCTATGTCTAACAGAGTCTGCTATGTTTATAAAAAAAAAAAAAAGGGTTAACCCTAGCTGGACCAGGCACCCAGACCACTTCATTAAGCTGAAGTGGTCTGGGTGCCTAGAGTGGTCCTTTAAGTGCAAAATTGCATCACACTGAGTGCAGGGAGCCATAGTAAATATGTATATTTTTAATGTTAATATTCCTTTACGATTTATAAATAAAGAGCTCCTCTGTAATATATTATATTACTTAAAGATTTAAGTAAACAGGTCCCATTGTGTTGTGTTTATTTAATTCCCTAATGTGAAACAATAAAGCTGTTTTTACATGTAGACAGCAATAACCTGAAAACAGGAGAAAAAAACAAACAAAGCCTAAACAAACAAAAAGCACAGTGTGAAAAAAAAAAACTGAAAAAAAATCCTAGTAAATTTTATGTTTCCGTAATTTTCTTTTGTGAATTATTTGGTATAGTATTATTATATTTTGGAAATTGTTACATTGGCCAGTACTCCCGGAATGTACATTAATATTGTAAACTATTGTTTATATGTGTTTTTATTTTATTAACCGAATAGTAAAGTCAATATCTTTTTAGCCCTTCAAGTAAGGACTCTGAACTCAGAGGAACAAATGCAATTCTTCATGTAGTGGTATTTAAAAAAAAAAAAGAATAATCAATTACAGATGGCAATACAATTACAGGAGCTAGACATGCATAGATTCATTTAGCAGAGAGATGCACAGGTTCATTGGAAAAAAGTTTACAAAAGTAATTTTAGAGGCCCCAATGAGGTATGTTAGTCATTTAAAAACATAGTATGTGCCTAAAAATTAGACTGGCATCTTCAAAAATTGTAACCATAAGAAAGATCAGAGAACAAAGGGAGCATGTATTGACGAGCATTTACGTTTTAGACAAAAATACAGGGAGAAAAGACAGTATAAATACCTTAGAACTAAAAAAAAGAAAAACCCTTAGATCATTGAATTGCTTGACACTGGAACAGATTGAGTATAATTCTGCTTCTGGACTTTCTAAAGGTTTACATTGGTAATTAATATAAAAGGGTGAGGAGTAAATGACTCATTCTCAGGACACACGCACACACACGGACACGGACACACACACGGACACACACACACACACACACTAAAATCTATTTTTAACAAAAAAAAGTAACGACTGCTTTGTCTTATGTATTTATTGTACGCCTGACTTTCTAAGACACTAGACAGTGCCACAGTGTCAATTCCAACATGGCTGCAGTAGTGATGTTGGCAGCACCAGAAGCTTAAAAGGACATGCCGAAGAAAGATGGCTGCGTTTTTTTTATGAGACGTATTAGCAGTCACACTCTATCCAAGCTCACCGTCTGCATGTTAGATCAGTGGAGCTAATAGAAACAGAAGTGACTGCGTCATTCATCAGAAAAATCGATGCTTTTATAAATTGGGGGGGGGGGAGGGGGGAGAATACATTCTCTGGAGTGCTCCTTTAAAACATAGCAAGCTGACCAAAATATGCTGAAACATACCCAAAGAAACTTTAATATCTGTCAGGAAGCACAATTTAGCCCTGCATCAAATCTTGCATGCCCCTTGTAAATGCTTACATTACCAAAGTTCAAAAATATGTAAAGTTTCATAAATTTAGATATTATCCTTGCACATGATGTATGCTAATCTTCATCGTATTGAGCTAATGTTGGTAATTGTGCGGACAAAGGCATCTTCCACCAACTTTTATATACTTCTTAGCTCACTGTATGTGCTGCATTATCACAGATTCTCATATTTCCATATTAATTCAGTAGTATTTAAAAGTTGATTTTTAAATTTTAGGATCCAATTGGAAAAATTCTCAAAGTCCGCTATGTTTTCAGTTCAGCTATTTTGGTTAAAAAGTCGAAATCATTTTTAATTTACTTCCATTTCTCTGCAATGCATGCTTTATGTAAAGAGAATACTGTCTCTTTGTATGTCTTAATGTCTTACTCTAACCATTCAAATAACTCTTCTTCATAAAGGTGGAAGACTGGTTTGTGGGGTCCATGCTCGGCCACCTGCGGAGTTGGGATACAAACTAGAGATGTGCAGTGTTCCGGTCTAACAGAGTCTTCTAATAACCCGGAACAGGAATGTACTGATACCATGCCTTCCGCCATTCAGGCCTGTAACCAGATAGACTGCCCACCAGCATGGCATGCAGAGGACTGGCAACCGGTATTTATGCAAAAATCCTTAAAAGCTAGCATTGAATGTATGAACATAATTTTTTAAACAAGTTGAATCAGATATATATTTATATATTGTCTAAATGGGAGTTTTGGAATTTTGTGTTCATACCAGTGTTATATGTTTTTAGTTTGTTTAGGAAGGAGCCAGCTATGTGCTTCGCTGGGAGACTGGTGATAGAGATGAGTTTGGGAGAGATGGACGTGTTATGTTTAGGAAGCGGAATAAATGGGCATTATACATATTCAATAAGCGCCAGTTTTTCTAATTTGCAAAGAATGTAATAATCTGATGCTTGTTCTTTTAAATTGTTTATAAGAATTGTACATTGTCATGTTCTGTAACTCAGGTGGCTAGCTTGTTACTCCAGATGGCTGTTCATTAGATGTTCATAAACTCCTGGTTGCTAAGTTAAGACAATCATTATTTGCACTGCATCCTGTCAATGTGTCTGGTCTGATCTGTTTTGACAGCAGTTGCTGTTAATTGTTTTCAAAATAGGCATTAGCAATAGATCTTCAAAGTTAATTGTTTCATTGTTCAATATCAGGATGCTTACTTATTTAAACATAGTAAATCAAGTGAGCACGTAAAAAAATAAATAGATTAAAGATATTCTTACAGACAGAGGGATATGTAATTAAACATATTGGCATAAAAGGAGTTGGCAATCCTGCCAACAGGCTTACAATAAAGGTGCCACAAATGCTTCACTAAAGTACCAAGAATTGCTGGTTAACTTGCAATCTGAAGTAAAAATATTCAAAAAAATAGGCATAAGGCAGAAGGGGGTGAAAATCATTATGAGGACTATCAGAGAAAAAGTAATTTCACATGTGGAAGAGCTGATGAAATGATTAGTTAATAATTGTTGACTTTCCACAGATTAAAGGGACACAATAGGCACCCAGACCACTTCAGCTCATTGTAGTGGTCTGGGTGCAGTGTTCCAGGCCTCTTAACCCTGCAATTAAATTATTGCAGTTTTTGATAAATAATTACATTGCAGGGTTAGCTCCACCTCTAGTTGCTGTCTTCCACCCAGCTGTTGACAAACTACAACTCCCGCAATGCCTTCCCAACTTAAAGGCGCTACGAGTTGTAGTTCTACAAAAATTGGGAGTTTACCTTGTGGTCATCCCTGTGCTACAGTCTGGAGCTCACATCATCTGCTTTGTCACTACAGTCACGCCAAGGACACAACTTTATTTGAACTATGAAAGCATAAGCAGGGTTCCTTATAATATTTGTAATCATCCTTATTATTATTATTATTTAAAATTACATTTTCATGTGCCAATCCATTCCACAGTGTTATCCCATCAAAATGTTAGTTTTCTATGCCAAAGATATATCTGACATGTGCCACATTATGCTTTGTGATGGAAATGAAAATGATGGTGTTATTAATGCTGCATTTGTTTCTGTAGTGTTTACGAACATGTGGAGGTGGTGTCCAGAACCGCAGAGTGAGCTGTAAACAGCTGTTGGCAGACGGGAGCTTTATGAAACTTTCAGAGGAGCTTTGCCAGATGCCCAAACCAACTAGTCATAAGCCATGTGGAAAGACAGACTGTGCCCCGCAGCTCATTGTAGGAGAGTGGTCCAAGGTCAGTGTCATTTTAAATTAATATCATAGTATAACTATTCATTGTGAGAACACTGTTCATATCCCACTGGTTTAAAAGAACACTCCAGACACGTACATCACTTCAGATTGCTGAAGTGCTTTATGTGACTGGAGTCTGTCATATTTGTGACAGTTTATTAAAGTGCCAATTGCAATAGAAATCTGCACGTTTATAACTGAGGGCCGGTACACCTCCCTGACTGTCAATCAGAAAGCCAGAGAGCTCCATAGAGTGATAAGCACGCTGAGCTAGGGTGCACCTGCCTTTCTCCCTTCTCAATAAGCTGTACTTCAACATAGAAGCATAGGAGAGACATGATCACTTGCGCATGCACGTGTGTTCTTGCAGGTCCAGCACAAAGAACTGCAGGTTTTGCAAGCTGTTATTTATACCCCAAAGACAACTTGCCAGGTGTAGGGGTTTGCATTGGAAATATTGATACACATATCTGCCGAAGCAAGTATTTTACAGTAATAATTTACCATTTAATTCTATAGTGCTCATAATATTTATTAACCAATAAAGATTGTTCCATATTTAAACACACGCAAGGTGACATGGTCTAAGCAGGCTCAAAGAGTGTGACATTTGCCAATTACTGATCATTTCCAATATTCCTTCTAAACATTTTTTGTGAGTAGTGTAGTTTCATACGTCCTAACTGTCCCGATTTAGCAGGGACAGTGTGCATTTTGGGCCAAAATCCCTCTGTCCCTCTTTTCTATCCTATGTCCCATATTGTTGGTGTGTCTGAGTGTATAGCAGAGCTGCACAGCAGTAATACGCATAATAATGTGTCTTTAAACTACAATAAATTGTTTAGAGATAAGTCTCTATAAAATGATACATTGTTCTTGTTCAAAATGATATTTTAGTTGCATAATTTATTAGTAAGTCACCTAAAATTTCACTGAACAGCCCTGCCCCTGGCTACACCCCCACTCACACCTCTAAAATTAAAGTGTCCCTCTTTGTCCAAGTGAAATGTTGGGAGGTATTCAATTTGGAAACAGTTAAACAAGGAATTGTTAAAAAACTTACACTCTACTGTTTGCAAGGAAGAGTAGAGGGGTACTTAGCTTTTACTAACTTATCAGTGTGGACTGCTGTCTAACAACATCCTACCTCACCCCAAATTATCATAGCAATCAACATAATAAAGACACACCCACGGCTCGATTAGGTTCGATTTACAGAGCTCCATTTGTCACTTAAGATAAAGGAAAAATTGAGTGTGAGATTATCTAATATAGATTTGCTTTAGTGGTCTTGAAACTTGATACAAGGCAACTAAACATTAAATGTATTTAGTGTAGGTAAACATATTCCTCATGGTACTAATAAAGTCATAATGAATCTAGATTTCTGTTAAATTACCCACAGCCCCAGCATGTGTAAGGAATATCGCAAGGCGCCAGGCCAAAACAATATTATCATGTCTGTCACATATAATGCATCCAGTTAAATTGTTCCTTCCAGTGTAAAAAGATTTACATATTAATACGTATTTCAGAATACAGCTTCTTTGAGGGCATGTTTAGAAGAAGAATAGATAGATATGCCTATAAATGCATTCTGCTTTTAGTATTTTTGTTGAAAATTTAATATATTTACTGCATTACTAAAGACCATTTTCTGTCTCCACACAGTGCTCAGTAAGATGTGGTGTTGGAATCCAGAGGCGGAAGGTAGCATGTCACAAGATAACAGCCAATGGCCAACAGGTCCTTCTCAATTTATCAATCTGTCATGGACTCCCTGCACATGCACTCATTAGATCATGTCACATGACTTCCTGCCAGAGTAAGTATCTACTCAGAGTCCAAAATTGTAAGTTTATATTCAGCTGGCAACTGATATCATATTTGTTGCTGTAATTTATAGGAGATCTATGTTCTAAAGCAATTAAAATGAAAACAAATGGAATGCTCCTCCTGATCTAACTGTTTTATCTGGAGATTGCTGGATGTTTAAATCTCTGACCTGTCTTTTGTTTTTTTTTATTAGGAACTATTTTATAAACTCTCACCTACAATACTTTGGAAGGCAAATCCTAGGCCCGTGGAGACTTTAATAAAGGAACACTATAGTCACCAAAACAACTTTAGCTTAATAAAGCAATTTTGGTGTATAGGTCATGCACATGCAGTCTCACTGTTCAATTCTCTGCCATGGTCTAGACCAGCGTTTTCCAATTGGTGTTCCCCTAATTGGGGTTCCGCTGAAAAATGTGGAAAAAAAATGGCCGCGGGCGGCGTGGGAGCAGTGAGCTCTGATCTCTCTGCTCAGCTCCCTCGCACGCACAGTAGTGATGCCGGAGCCGGAATATCACGTCACTCCGGCTCCGGCATCACTAGGCACACACCTTGACACACAGATACATACATACATACATACACACACACAGATACACACTGTGTGTCAAGGTGTGTGTATCTGTGTCAGTGTGTGTATTTGTGTGCCACTATCTGCCAGTGTGTGCAGGGCCACCACCAGAAATTTTAGGGCCCCTAACTCAGCTCAGGGTCTGGGCCCTCTGGGGCCCACCTCCAAATACTGCCCGCTGGGTCCTCCTCCAAATACCGCCCACAGGAATACAGACACAGACACACACACTGATACAAAAGGACACAGATACATACTAACAGACACACATACTGAAACAGACATACATGCATACAGGCATACATACTGACACACACATACTGAGACATACACACAGGCATACATAGTGACAGACAGACACATACTAACATACATACAGACACACATGCATGATGACATAAAGACACATACATACATACAGACACTGACATTCATACACACATACATTCATAATGGCATACAGCCATAACCAGACATAC